ACAAACGCCACTCTGACTTGAATGGAATTAACTAAAAAAAAAACGTTTTATCAAATTAATTTAGGGGCTCTGGGCAAAACCCAGGTGCTGGCAGTCGACCTCGGATGTGAACGACCATGAAGATTGTGAACATAGTCGCACAAAAACATCTGGAGATGACCCAGAACGCCGCGTGCCTCCATGTGGATGAGCACAGACTCTCTGTCCCACTGAGGTGGAACATTATCGCAGTTTCATGCTGTCATAATAAATGACAATAACAGTTGTGTGAAACCAGCGCCGTGGGTGAACTTTGGGGAGAGCGTTCAGAGGCGCCGTGGGTGTGTTTGTGGATTGGATCCTTCTGGCGTCGGCTGACAGAGGGGGCAGGCGTGTGCGCACACGTGTTACTCAGTAGATGAATTAGCTGGTGGACTTCTACATTCTTATTCCACCGCGTCACACCGCCGCTTTGTACTCAAGTGACAGCGTGCGCGGAGTTTTATTATCAGTTTTGCTGCTCCGGTAATGGAAAAACCCCTGCGTACCCTCTGGGGGGATGTTCATACAACTGCATTGTGTTGAGAGAGGTACTTTGTGGAGGTTTTGTGCGTCGGTTGTCAGTGTGTTTGTGAGCTTTTGTCTTGATTTTCTGCATTTGAATCCAGGTACCGTTTTAATTTAATTGGCTCGAATCTGCATGCGTGTTGATCGGAAATGAATAATTTGCAACCAGCTAGAGAAGGCCCAGATGTGTGAGTGGGATCAGCTGTTTTAAATGTGAAAAGTAAATGAAAGACATCAATTTAGCAACGGACACGAGCAGAATTAGTCTAAACCCGATGCAGCTGGAAGTCTTGTTTTTTAGCATTTTTTTAACTCTGGGAAACAAAAGTTTCCCAGAGTATTTTTTTTGCAACCGTTGTCTCTCCAGGCATCTGGATCCGGTCCTTCCCAGTTTGAGGAGCACACAAAAGTCTCTTAATATTTCATCATTTGGCGTCAAGCAGCATCGAGCTGTATGTGGCTCCTCGAGTCACCAAAGCTCTCACCCCAGGATCGTCGCTAATGAGCTGCTAATGACCAAGTATTAAGAGAAAAATACGCCGCTCAAGTTCCCAAAGTTCACCCCTAATTACACACTTGTTAGCAAAAGGGCGGGAAGGACAGGGCGAGCTGACAGATGTGGCGTGGAGAAGACTGACGGGTCTGCAAAGAGGAACAGAATGAAACAACAAACAAAGGAAAATTGCAAACGCTAATCTGCCAAACTGTACGTGGAGGCCGAGCAGGGAGGAAAAACAACGAGAAGTGGAAGAAACAAAAGGGTGATGGAGTGGGGATTGGTGGGAATGCTTGAATGGTCACGATGGGCCAGTGGGAACTTGCACGTTGGTGTACAAATGGGGGTAAATGGGCGAACGACGCGTACGGTCAAAGGGCCGTGAGGTCCAGAGCGGCGCCGCGACGGTACGTTCGTTTGACCCTTTGTCCCAAAGGCTTCACCAGCGCTGACGGGCTCAGATGAACGTGGCTTTGTCTCCGCTGGAGACCGACCGCAGCTACTGTGAGAGACGTCCATTTTGAGATCAGCCCTGGATGGGACGTTAAAACATCGGCGGACCGGTTTCCACATAAGCGAGAGACACCTGAAACCTTACATTCGTCGAGTGAATCACCCACTGATCCCGTCTACTGTCTCCGTCCTATTTCTATTCGAGGAAATCTCTGTGATAAATCCCAAACAAACAAACATCATTTTATTCAGTCGTGTGGGAGACGTTGGCTGTTTCAAAGCGCTGCGATGTGACAGACTCTCTCAACCATTGGGAGCTTTAAAGAAAAGCTCAGTGTTTTTCTATTCTCGTCCATTCCGATATCAGACATGCTCCTGAATCCTCATTATTTGTCTAGAAGTTATTTCTGGGGTGAAGGCGATGATCAATTAAAAACAATGAACTAGAATGCAGCGCAACATGCAAGCAAAGAACGAAAATATACTCACGGAAATTCAACCAAACATGAAACATTCAGCACAGTTCCCATTGTTTTTCGTCCCGTTAGCCCTCAGACACCCAAACTGACCCAGTTTGAGATATTTAGCCGGGGAAAGAAGATGTGAAATCACCCTGAAGTTGGGAGCATTTAATGATTCCAGGAAACCTCCTCACCGTTGGTCAGTTCAACCGTTGTTCAACACTCAAGGAATCACCGAGGACATTTTGATTGGTGTTGATGTTGAGAGATCAAATGAAACAGAGTAAATGCACAAAAGATAATCAGCGACGGGGAAGCAGACTGACCTGGCACGGTTCTGAGCTCTAATGTGTGCAGAGCGAGGTTTCCCCACACAGGACTTCAAAGGACTCCCGATTAGCGAGAGTCAGACCGCTGGGCCAATTTAATGAGGAAGAGAGACAGCGAGTCCCCATCGAGGACACGAATAAACGACCGCAAAGAGAGAGGAGGCTGTTGATCATGTCCTCACAGTGCAGGACAGACAAACAGAAGGGACACTTCCTCTGCGTCCAATGACTCAGTGTTTATAAGGCGTGGAAGTCCTTTCAGCTCGGCTCGGATGTGATGTTCAAGGACTCAGAAGGTAGAAATAGAAGGTGATCGCCGGGGAAGCACCATGTTTATTGATGCTGCTCGTGGACCTTCTGGGTTTTCTCGCGGGGAGGATTTGAGCCGCATGTTAACTAAACACTCAAGGACTCCAGCCACAACGGAGCGTTTGGAAATACGCCGATAGTCATTAAGACATTTTTTTTTTTTTTAATCCAAACCTGAGGCACAACTCCATTAGAGATGGAAAGGTTGAAGAGACGTGTCATTTGTAAAGCAATGAATGGGGTGTTTTGAAGAAACTGTAGCTCAGTCCCGCAAACAGCAGCTTGGAGTTTGTAGAGAGCGTGACATCAGCCTCAGCCTCTACTTTAGTTTAGCGCTAATTGGCTAATGTTCGCACTCAATGCTAATTGAATTCCACCATTTAGCTCAGCCTCACAACCAGGACATTAACTAGTTAATTCAAGTTAAGCACTTTGCTAGTTGTTAAGCTGTGAATATATTTGGGATATATGTATATATAGGCAAGATTAATAGAGCAATGTTGATTCCTTCCTTCATTGATAAACTTGTTTTTGTGTCTCTGGAACATTCAAGTCTTTCACAAATAGTAATCAACCAAACAGACTTATACATAATACAAATAGATGGGGGAAATGACCTTTTTCCATCGACAGAGTGATTCAGATTCCTTTTTGGGGGGAATGTGGAAACATGGTGAATGAAGGAAATGAAATGCAATTTTCATCATTTCCGTGCGTTGAATGTTAAACAGACGCGTCCCACTTCCTGTTCCATTGATAAATTGGAAGCCCTTTGAGTCGTTTCTTCCTGCCGCTCTCAGTCTGGCTGCTTCCTCCCGACAGCATGAACTTTACTGGCATTGAAATGACTGAAGTGAACGCTGTGGGAATCAGTCTCAGCACAAACCATGTAGATTAGCTTTATGTGAGTATATTGGCTTCCTACATATTTTTGAAGGCCTTTCCAGTGTGTTTAATTTGAATTTAATGGCATTATACCAACACTCTTTGACAATAACACTTTTGCAGGTCTCGTCTGTCCGTCTTACTTCCAGCAGATAAATGTTGAGGCAGGAAAAAGCCACGAATGAAAAACAAACTTTTACTTTCACACGAAATGATTGAATAGAAATTTCATCTTCACAATGCAGCAACCCTGATCCTTGTGTGCGGCTGTTTTAACTGGTATTACATGACCTTTCTTTCTTAATAACATCACAGATTTGTGCCCTTCCATATTATACGGAAGGTAACATTGGACTTAATCATTTTGATAAAGAAATAGAACAAAACTCTGAAGAACTCTGTGTCATGAACTCTGTGTTGTAGACTGACAAAAGGCAAACCTTGTCATATTGGGCTTTTTACATTTGCTCAACTAAACAAATCTGCTGGTGACGATAGCATTTTACTACTTTTGCTTACCTTTCCTGTCCGTCTGTATTGAAAATAATCTTTCATAGAGCAGAAAAATGTTACTCAGGAAATGCCTTTTAGAAAAATATAAGTGCAAGGACTTAATTTGAACTGACGGAGTAGAAATTGCTGCCTCGCGATGCAGCGACGCTCATCCCTCTGAGACTTTTTAACCGGAGTGACGTGATTGTTTATGCAGCCTGGATCTGTGCCCTGCAGATAACGATTGGGAAAGTAACATTTACATTTTTCGGCGCAGGTTGAATCTTTTTCAGAAAGGGTTTCCTGTGAAAAAACGGATGTATCTTACATCAGCGGCCTCACCGCTGAACGCATTGACACCATGAAGTGACAGCTTCTTTCTCATGACAGAGAATCTAGCGATGATAACAAATATAAGCATTTAAACATTTTTTTTTACATTTTTTAAACAGGTTTTTTATGTTCTTCACTACAAAAGAAAGGAAATTGCAAACAACTTGATAAACATTGACCCATTTCAAACATTCATTCATCAATGAAACATTGTCTCATATTAAACAATATTGTAAAATTGTGGCTCTCAACAAAAAGGTTTTGGTTGCATAATTCAAGCAATACTGATCGAGTTAGCTGACACAAAACGGCCATCGCTCGATATAGAAAGTGCATTATGAACATAAGGCAGTATTGATTATTCCCGTGGCAGGTTTTGTCCTCAAAAAGCATCACAAAAAGGCCCGGTGAAGAAATCTACACTAGAACAAAGTATCAAGTGACAAACAGAAAGCTCTGCATGTCCGTCCTCTTTGGCATCAGTGTTGATTGTTCTGGTAAAGATGGTGAGAGAGTACGAGAGTATTAAGACCAATGACACATGTACCTCAATGTATCCTCATGCTAATGTGCACAGATACATGTCGGTGGTCTCATAAGACCCCGGCAGCTAAAGGAGCCACTCCGTCTGTGAAAAAGGCTCTGATTTATTACTGTTAACTGCAAAAGTTAAAAACACCACATTACTGCCCGAGAGAGATTTTAAAACTTTTATTGTCAATGTGTTAAGAACGTTATCTTTATTTATGACCATTTGGACATTTTGCAGGCACCCTCTTACAGTTTGGGCACAAATTTTAAATATCTCTTCATACAAAGGCAAGACAGCGTGACAATTTTGAAAAGCAAAAACACAACCACAATTCTTATTATTTTTTTATACCCATTGACTCATAATAATAAAATATACCATAATAAAATAAATATACACTCAGTGACCAGATGAATTAAATCCATGTCCCTGCAAGGGACCATTGATTCATTTTCTGTTACGTAGCATGAAGGGGATTATACTTTGTAATACAGTCTGATTATGGTCCAGACTGCAGGGGGGGGCATCGATTGCATTTCTTATCTTTCCCAAATTTCAGATAAGGAAGGTTGGGGTGGTGGATGGTAACCACGGCAACACAAGACAAAGGCAATTGTTCTTAAGGTGGCAAACACACCAATGGGGCCCTCAGATGTTGTCGTAGCCACTAGCTAGCTACTTGGTAGCTAGCCACTAGCCATCGGCCCAACAGTAGCATGGCAGAATTAGCAGGCAAGCTAACTAGCCGGCTGTCTGGTAGTTAGTTAGCCAGAGCAGAGCACAGAAAGACAGAAGGAGGCCGCCGGCCGAAGACGGGAAACAACGCAACTGATTTAAAGGGCGCGTCAGAAACCGTTTCCAACGCAGTGGGTGTCGTTTGGTAACTTCATACATTAAGAGGATAACGGACGTGGTTCTTGTCATGACTCAGGTACACCGAGGGGTCGTTTGAGGACACTTAATGGTGCACAACTGACAGCACTAAGAACTAAACAACATGTATGCAGGAGAAGGACACATGCAGCCTTATTGTGACCCCGGACAACAACACAACAACATCTTTTATTCAAGGTCAAAACAACTCAAATAAGATTTACCCTGTCATTTGAACTAATTAAAACGTATCAATCATATTATAAGCTAAATCAAATATAGGAATTAATGGGTTGTCAAAGACGATATTGCTTCAGTTTCATTTTATTTTGCTTCCAAATAACCACATTGAATCATTCACTGACATTGAACATGAGCTTTGAGCTTATTCTGAGTACAAACTTGTTTTTATTAAGCCGTTTTACATGTGCTGCTCTCACTGGTGAAATAAACATTAAACCACTTAGAAACACTATTTTTTTTAAAGGATGACAATTTAATTCCGTTTTCTCTTTGGTTCCCCGGGTGAGAGTGAAGCTCCTCTGCGAGCCGCGCCGATGCATGAAGGTAACCCGGCCGAGGGGGTTTACCTTTAATCAGGACGTCTTATCGTTTATTCTTCACATTATGGCCCCTCTTTCTATTCACCAGACGGCCCTCCGGCTTTTTCTTTTCACGGTGACTTTTGTGTGAGCAGCCGCTGTGAGGCCACGTTTTAGATCACACGAAAGCCCCCTTTCGTCTCTGGCATTTGAATGGAGTTTTCACTCTGTTTCCCCCGTTTACAGCTAAATTAAAAACACTCACGGCCGTGATTACTTTCCATGGTTGTAGAACCCCGTCTGTATTCACCAGCCTTCAAACGCAGTGATCCGCCACTGCGAGCGGACTCCCTGCATCACGTCTCACCTCGCACACGTGTTGTTGCTAAACCTGGTCACGGATGTGAGGAGAAGGCTTTTGTTATTAGCTCTCATATTTAATTCTTTTGTTTCAGTTTAGTTTATTTAATTTAATTTAAGAATGTAATATTTCTATCTTATTATATTGTATATAATGTGTATCTTTTTATTCTATTTTCTTCCCTGTACATGCTGCTGTGATACCAATATTTCCCTCTTGAGGGATCAATAAAGTATCAATCTATCTATCATTGCCTCTGTACGGCAAATATAATGTTATGTATTCAACTCTTTGCTCCTCTGTGAGATTCGCGGTAAAATCTGGTTGGTATTTAAATTTCATCATGAAAGTTTGCCTTCTACCATCAGTTAAATTGTTTTGCAATTAAATTCTCAATCTCATTCAAATAAAGCTAATCACATCAGATTATGTGAAAATTAAATCACAGCAGTGGAATTCACAAGCGTATTTTCATACCCAGAACCTTGAATATGAACCTTGCAGTTATATATATTTTTGCAGACAATCAAAGTTAATATAAAATCTATTGAATAGCCCTTCACAATTAAATAGGACACCATTGACCTCCTTTCAGATAAAACAATCTTCCCATCTGCCTGTCTGTAAAAACAGCAATTGATCTTTGTGTCCCGATAAATAAATCTTTAAAATTGGCATTAAACATTATTCAAGAACGTGTAGTTGCAGACACAAAAACCCCCACATGCTAATACACCAGATATACACATGCAGACTACACGCAGGTACCAAGAGTCTCTGGATCCCAAAAGGACGTTCACAGTAATCAATCAATACGTGGTTGAAAAAAATTATAATTAAGCAGAGAAGCAGAGGTTTTTTTCACCACAGGCACCAGAAAGTACAAATTCATTACATTCAATAATACTGGAGTTTCACATTTAACATCTTTGTTTGTGCTGAATTTCCCACAAGCGAAGCTTTGAATTCCATCAAAGGTCCAGAGGTGTTTTTAAATGACACCTGACTTCTCTGGCAGGAATTAAATTGAAATTGCTACTTAAAACTGCTGCAAAATAGAAACAAACTTAAATTAAAACAGGAAATGTTTTGAATGTTTTCTCTTCTGTTTTATTGTCTCTATAGAATTATACTTAGAATTAGAAGTTGTGAGTAGAGTCGGTTACTGAACCTCAACTCAACACGAGGCCTTGAGTGTCAATAAGCGTAAAATATGTTAAACTGGCAACTAATGATTGATGTTGATGATTTAATTACTGATCCAACTCAAACTTAAGACCTAATTTCTGAATTAGTAACTAGTAAATTGCTTTAAGCATTTTTCGCACTTGTGAAAAAGCGATTACAATTGTTGACATTTCCCTAAATATGGTTTGTGTATCTAACATCACCCAGCCGGAGCAAAATGGAACAAAGCAACATGATCTCCTGGTGTTTTCATGCTGTGACTCGGCCCTTTAAATCCAGTTGTTCAGCTCGGTGGTTCCACTTGGTTCTGAGCTGGTAAAATAGCTGCTTTCACTGCATTTAAAAGACTCGCCACCCGACTAAATGGCATCCCGTCCCGGGGCCGTGACCCGGTGGGGGAGGGGGCCTCACCGAGGCCGCTCTGCGTCTTCAGCAGCGACGACCCCGAGTGAGCGGCGGTATTCGGCGTGGAGATGAGGGCTGGCTCTACGAGAAGGGGGCAGATCGGGGGTGTGACAGGTCGACAAGCCAAAACCAAAAAGATGGAGGGTTCTTTCTGAGGTCTCACTGCTGGATGCAGAGCAAGAAGCAGCGGAATGACTGAGGCCGAACACCAAGCACCAGCATGGAGACTAGACTGTGTGAAGACTGATTTGAAATGAATTTTTAAGAATCCGTTTCCTGCCTGTTACTCCGTGTTTTAATGCAGTTATTTGCATATTTTTCTCTTCCTGTTGTTGCGTAATGTAAGGATTATGGAGTTTGATACCGCCAACTTATAAATGGTTGTTGAAGAATCTGCTGAGCTGCAGTGATTTAAAGCCCGATGTCTCACGATGAATCAGGAGAATCCGTCAAAGTTCGATCAAAGACATCAGGGCAGCAGAAAGAGACCCGGCCGCCAGAGAGAACCACGTCAATCACAGCTTTTTCAACTCTTCAGTTTTAAGTTTGTCCGTTTTTCCTTTCGCAGTTTTTACATCTCAGCAAAACAAAATTTTCAAAATAGGCCGTTTTAAAAACAGACGCCACCAACAGCAGAGATCTGTAAAACACCTGTTGAGACCAAGTTGTGGACGCTTCCCTGCAGGAATGGTCCAAATAGTCAGTTCACACAGACGGATTCACAGCATCACGCAACAGACTCTCAGCAGACGATACATGTTTTTGGGACCGATGCCGGACCGCCGTTGTTTCCCGTTTACTGTACAACACCGTTCATAAAAGGTCTAAATGAAACTTGGCACATTCGTTACAGGCTCGTGATATATTCATGGGTAAATAACACGTTCTATTTACATGTTTGCAGAGCAGATTTCAGAATAAAAAGACCACGTTTTGAGTAGATGGCTCGCAAACGATCCAAATCAATCGTTTATCACTCTACAAAAGGTGTTTGAGTCCAATTTAAAAGCGATCAGTTCAAACGCTGGAAACATGGGCGTCTCCTTCCATCTCTGTGGGCTTATGGCCAAATCGCCCCACGGCGTTTCTTAGGGGAGACGTGTACTCCAATATCATCCCAAAAAGATAGTGACCTTCCTGATCAGCATAATGAGCCTCAGCCATCGACGTGCTGCAGGAGCCTTGATGAGAAATGTCCGGCTGCATTTAACCGGTTACTCCCCAGCAGCCGGTCTCAGTTTGAAACCGTTGTTTCAGAGAAGGTTGGGGTTTGTGCACTAACGAGGGTCGCTTGTATTACTGTAGCGTTGTAAATTGTGCTGTTCGACCAAGACGCCTGAAAGATTCTGTCGTTGATTTAGGGTCTTCGAAGCTCCCACAGCAGCTCCACAGGCCACTAAGGTTTTCCTCTTCAATAAGTACCAGCGTTGAATAAAATGCATCTGATGCGCCACCATACAAGGACGTTTAACTATCACTATCTGTGTGAGGGGTTTAAGCTTTTGAAATCTGCTCTGCTGCTCTTGTTCGATGCCTCTTTACACATTTGTACGGGTGACAAAAGGTGCGCGATGGAGCAGGATGGTTCCGCGTTGGTCGATGAGCGATGTGCCGTCCAACGAGACGTGTTTCCTCCTCGACGGTATCTAATAATCCCGAGCGGGCCGCTACCCGCCTCCGCCGAGCGCGCGGCACAAAGCGTGCAGCTCAGGACGCGTGCGGCTTAAAGGTGATAAGGAAAGGTTCAAAGGCAGCGCTCCCTCTTCCAACTGGCAAATTTGGCGACCGCTCCGAGGTGGCGTGTGCAGGACAGATAACAGAGCGAATGCTTCACACGTCTTATTAGCCAGTTCTTCCTCCTCTTTATACCTTATTTTACCTTTTGACCCCCCCCCCCCACCCCCCCTTTGCTCAGCGCCTATGCGGCTCCCTCAAATGGACACGGCGGTCACCCCCCCGCTGCTGCCGGACGCCTTGTCCTGGTCCTCCATCACCCGGTCGGGCTCGTTGACGTGGTTGACTCGCCTGGTCGAGTTCTTCTCCACGCTGTTGAGGGAGATGGGCTCTTGGGTGGTCTGCGCGTGGTTGGCGGGCAGCACGGAGTTCGCCTGCAGCCGGTGCGAGTAGGACTTCCGCCGCTGCCCGTCCGCCGCGCACAGGCTGAACTTGAACACGGTCTGGAACCCCCGGCGGAAGTTCTCGTTGAAGAAGCCGTAGATGATGGGGTTGACGCTGCTGTTGAAGAACGCCAGCCAGTGGGCGAAGGGGTAGACGTAGATGTTGATGATGCGGTACTGCGGCTCGGTCAGGCTGGCGTAGTCGCTCAGCATCATGAGCGTCCACAGCGGCAGCCAGGAGAGGATGAAGAGCAGCGCCACTATGAGGAGCATCTTGATCACCCGCTGCTTCTTCTTGGACACGGAGTGGCGGTTTTCTTGGCCCGGCTTCCCGCCCGTCGGGACCGCCGACTTGTAGAGCGTGACGCCGATCCGGGCGTACATGACCACGATGAGCGAGAGGGGAGCAAGGTAGATGTTGGCGAACAGGACGGTGGTGTAAACCTTCCTCATGTCCTGGTTGGGCCAGTTCTCCCGGCACCAGTAGAACGGGCTGGTCTTGTTGTCGTAGCCCAGCAGCACCCGGATGGTTTGCTCCTTGGTCACCTGCAGCATCACGCCGGAGGGACACATGATGGATATGGCCAGGACCCAGATAATGACTATTATCAGGGAGGCGGTGGATATAGTCAGCTTCTGCTTGAACGGGTAGACGATGCACCTGAATCTGCAAAAGAGAACAGGCGAGCGAGTTAGATGCACATCTTCAACCTTTAAGGAACTTGACGAGAGTTACTACCTTCAGCTCATGAAGGGGCAAATACAGGCTGTGTTCACATGGAGGGGCTCAGGGCAATGCGTGTACAGAAAAATGGCAAATTAATGCCATTTAATAGAAATAGACACAATTTGTGAGAGATTTACCGTCCGACTGGTTCGGCGAGGGAGAGCCAGCACTCAAGACCGAAGACGTCGCTCTTTGTGTTCAATGCTCCTTTACTTTCCAGAACAATGGGGAAATAATTAACCCGGCTCCCCCCTGTTGCCATCATTGTGATTAACCAGCTTATTGGCCATCTGTTAATTAAAAGGTACACGCTATCCTGCACTCAAAGGCCTTTGTACTTCAATTTTTAATTTGACTAAAAATCATTCCGCCCCGCGCTGAAGCCAGCCAGCGTATAAATGGTAAGAAGTGAATCCTTCTACCGTTTTATTAACGTCACCCAGAATGCTCATTTGCATACAGAAAATAGAGGAAAATACACGATAAAAGCAACTGATGCATCGTTAGTTTGAACGAGCTGATAGCCGATAAAAGGAAGCTTATCAGCTCGTGATCCCTTCTTGAATATTTCCCACCGCTGTGATTTCCTTCAAACACAGCGGCGCAGACGGGGAGGCCCAGAATCCGTCGTCTCCACGAGGCTGCCGGGCGCGTAAAGGTGCCTTTGACTGCGCCCCCTCACGTTGACATCCCTGCCCCCCGTGCTTTGTGGTTACCGAGCAGGATTAAGGGACAGCTGGGGATCGTCGTCACAAGCGGCAATTAGGGGATTTCAGCCTGATCCGTCGGAACGGGACGCGGGGGCTTTAATGTGCTTCATAAGTGATGGAAAACGATCCCACGGCCCAAAGAGCGACTTATGTTTTACATCGTAAACCGAGTGCTGCTCTCTAGTTGCTATCGGCTGATTCCAGCTCAGCCTGGGGAAGCATTTGAATTGACGGTATATTTTTTTCTTCTTTGGACCGGATGCTCCTCCATTTGGCTGAAGAAAGACGCGAGACGCAGGCAGAAGCTCCCGGGTGAAACCTCGTGTTTGGCCTGTTTCATTTTTCATCTGCGTCGGCCTCACTTCCTCCCCCGGTGCGTTTCCCCCTCCCTGCTGATTGTCGGCCCGTGTCCCTAATCGTCCCCTTCCTGAGTCCAATCCCCAGAGCCGCGTGTCCCCGTGTCTCACCGTCGGTCCCACCCGCGACCCTGACCGCGTTTGTCTCATTTCCACGCGCTCTTTGATTCATTCAGTTATTTTTGGCTCTGCGTCCGAGTCCGACTCAACGCTGTCACATCGATGAAGAGGACGGTCCGGCCTCTGTGGCTGCTGGTTTTCCCCCCGTTGTCCTGCCCCCCCCCCCCCCCGAGCCTCATTCAGTTTGAGGTGCGGTCTGGAGGAGACAGGCGGGTTTTGTGTGGCAGTAGAAGTAAAAAAAGACAACGACACACAGTGGCCACAGTACCTGTCAACAGCGATCGCCACCAGCGTGAAGACGGACGCTGACACGGAGATCCCTTGAACCATGCCGCTCATTTTGCAGACCAGGCTTCCAAAAGGCCACCCTGCAGACAGGGGAGACGCGTCAAACACACTCACAGACCACAGACGGAGAGGACGGGGGGGTCGCTGGACGCTGTGAGCGACATTGACGCCTGCGAAGAGCTTAATACATTAAAAAGGGCATTCACACATGTGAAAGGCACCAAACCGTCCACCGCATGTGAAAGTCCTGCTCACATCGTAAACAAACAAACCTTTTAACCTGGTTATGTATTATTCATACGTTAAGGAAGAGTGATGAGTCCTGTTTCCACATTAGCCTTAAAAGCAAATTGATCGTGTTTTAGATGCTTTCATCACACGTGGTTACTGAACCCCCCCCCCCCCCCCCCCCCCCCCAGGGGCCTTTTGTAGATACGGGGCGCGAAAATTTGAAAGTTGGAAAAAGGGAACATTTTTTTTAGACAACGGGCCGCGGGGCCACACTTCTATCACCTCGCGGGGGATTCAAGGAACCCGCTCGGGGTACCACGTCCTGAGCTGTTTTCATCAATAACACCGGCCACACACACACACACACACACACACACACACACACACACCAGCCACAGACACACACTCGCAGGCGAACATGTCCCCTGTGAAACTAATGTATTTGGAAAGCAACACTCACAGCGTTAATGACCCCTGACCGGCTGGTCCCCACTACGGCTGCAACTGGTGATCCATGTAATGGATCACAACAGCAGCCGGCAGCGGATTCTGTTATTGATTAGCTGGATCCGCGTCGGGGGGGTTGAGCACGAGTGCAGCGCAGATGATGAACTAAAGGGAAATGAATGTTCAATGCAGAGAGACGTCAGACTTCTTTCTTTGGCCTGTGATTGGGCCATTTGCCCTCAAAAGGGACACAAAACGCAGCCAATGCTAATTACCTTTGAATAATCCCAGAGAGACAAAGCGCGATGTGACGTAACAGTGTTTATTCTTCGTGCCATTAGCAGTGAATCCTTTATATTTCTTCCGGCGGTGGAAGAAGCACTCAGATATTGTTCTTCACGGACTCAGAGAAGCAGGAGCCTGTAATTATTGTTTCATTTCAGAGTGATGTTTTATATGACTGAGTTATAATTAATAATGCGTTCACATTAGTGTCTTGTTGCTGCTGGTAAAAATCAGGCCCATTTTAACCGCTTGTACTGCAGAGTCAATAATTGTTCATCATAAACCACTCTTCAATCTTCAATTTTTTTATGATCAATCTGAATCTTCCACTAAGATTTTGAACTAATGTGCTGGAACAAAATGCACAATATCTTCCTCAGATGTTTAGCATAATAGAAGTTTTCTATGAAATAAAAAATATTTAAGTGCTATGACCCCAAAAGTGAACTGACCCCTTCTATTTTCAGAGCTCCGCTCTCCTCCTGAGCCGCTCTGCAAAGCCCGACCCGACCCGACTCACCAGGAACCACTACAGGAACCACTACAGGAACCGCTGAGGACAAGTGGCGCTCTGACTGCTCTCCTTCCGGGCCGTCTCTCGCCTCTCGTCTCCGTTTTAATTTAGAATTTTATTTATTTATTTTTCCTCTCGACCCGAGTGGACAAGTTGACAAACTGCGGCTCCTTCTAAGACGGCGTTTCAGTATAGAAATACTTCTCTATTTTAAGGACTTGTGCTGCATTCTGTATCTGTGACTCGTACAAATCTGTTTACCCAATTTCCACAATTTTTGTGTAGTTAAAAAAAATCTTATTTGCACATCAACTTTTTCTCTATGATTTATGGATTTTTTTTAAAGGTTACCGTTAGAACACAGCGCCTCTGTTCTGTCTCCTTGGTCCACTGGCCGGGTACATATTCTCGGGAGGGGGGGGGGGGGGGGCTGTGCCTCTGGTAACTTTGGGCTGCCCCTGTCTCAAAAATCAAAGGCGCCTTGTCATTTCGAGACCCAAAAGGAGCCGGGGTACAAAAACTGGAGCAGAACGACGCGTCTTGGTGCAGACACCTCCGGGCTTCTATTCTATTCAGTGAACTTTGGCAAGAATTGAGAAAGAAAGAAGAAAGAAGCACTGAGCAGCAAAGTGGCCACAGCTGGAGAACCACAAGGTCTTTGGTTTCTTTTCTAGTGCATTTGAAAATGTTCTATTAGCTACAACCTCGATTTTCACAAAAGAATCCAGCTGCCGGAGGAAACGTCCCCGGCAGATCGAAGCCTCGCCACTGGTCTTTCTTTTTCGCCCCCCCCCCCGACGAGCCGCGGGAGCTCAAACAGACGCTCCGACCTGACGCCGACGAAGCTTTGACCTCAGCAACGGGACGGGAGGGTCACAGGAGAACGAGGAGCACTGTCACGCTTCATGATTTCGGGTGTCGTGTGTCAACGTCTCGCCCCCGGAGAGAATTTCTTCAAATATGCCACAAATATGCCATGATGTCGTGATGAGGCGGTGATGGAGGAAGGCCACGGCGACCTCGCGTCGCTTCCATTCCCATGAAGACGATATGTCAGGGAGGCCCAGAGGAGCGCTCGTTTCCGCGGCGCAGAGAAGTAGGTTTTCAGCGGTTCTACTCTCTCTTTCACGCTCCTGGACCTCGACGTGGGTTCATCGCTCGCCCCCGGGAGGACGCCGGTTATTTGCAGGCGGAAACGGACAGAGAGCGTGATTCCACTCTTCCTGCTCTCTGGCAAAGAGATTCTTATTAAACTGTGCATAATATAAAAATGTCATTACCTAATCTCATGCAAAGCTCATAGGCTTTCATCCTCGTTTATTTCTGTTAGCGGCAAGCTGTCCAAAGTATCCCTGGGTGTGTCAGCGTAGCAGGGATTTAATCATGCCAAGCAATTCACCAGCTGGACTTCCCCCCCGAACTTAACGTCACGGCCCGATATCTTCCCGATTCAGACAACAATGAGTAATTACTCTGTTTTGGATAATCTTTTGAGGGGCAATATGTGTATTATTTCTATTTGTTGGCCCTGTGAGACAATTTATTTGATCCACAGCCACAGTAACACAGCCAATTCTTCCATTATTTAATTTACATTCTTATGGATGACGAAGGAGACTTTATTTTGTTGGCATTTCAAGCCGACACTCCACAGTGTGCAACGTCCGACGCAAACTCCTTCCAAAAAGCCCTCTGAGAAACCAGTAATCTGTCATTTCAAAGGAAACTTCCACCACTATTGCTGAACTGAAAAGATGAAGTCATTTCAGCATATGAAGGGTGTGAAATGCCTCCATCACTCGCCCGTTTGAGCTCGGTACCACGGAGGCCAAACTGTCAGGTCCAATCGGGCAGAACGTGGGGAGAGCGGCGGCCTTATCGGCGCGCGCTGGGAAGCCTGTCCGACTCGCCGGCGACAAATCGCGACGACCTCCGAGTACCTCCCAGCAGTCTCTGTTAATGAAAGTCTGAACTGCGGGGAAGAGGCAGAGGATCAAATAGCGGCGGTGGGGAAGGATTTTAGGGATCAAGGTTAAGCGAAGGATCGACGGGGCCGGCGGCTCGGCGAAGCTGTGATGCGTCATGACACGCACGAGCTCGAGTGTCGGCCGCGGGAGAAACGGATCAACTACGCCGCCATTCAGGCCTTTTACGCATAGCGGGGCGGTCGTTTAAAAAAATACAGGGCGGCAGCAGTGGGACAAGAAAATGGTAAATCTCCGTTTTTAGACTCGTCAAAAATGTGACACCTGACCGAAGCAGCGCAGCACGTTTATCTGGAAAAGAGGCCGTACGTATTCGACCTAAACCACAGAGGTTTATTTTGAAAGGTCACGTGTTACGAGCGGAAGCTGACGAGGCGCCAGGGACGGCGGACGGGTACCTCAGTGTTAGGGTTCATCTTCAGGGTACCACGAATGTCTTCATGTACATTCACCAAAAAGCTGTTCAAATAGTGCTACTTTTTGTTAGTCTCCAAACGTGTAAAATTAATAATAAATAATAGTATTAAACAATCAAAGCAAACAATGAAAGGTGTCTTCACAACTCCGCCAGTCACCCCTTGAAAAGTAGATTTTATACGTGTTGAAACAACAGAACAAACACAGCCCCAAATTAAACCCAACAAAGGCTCAAGGAAAGACCGAGGCTCACCTGTGATTATGTTGTCGAGAAGTGTCGTGGGCATGCAGAAAATCCCCACCAGGAGGTCGCTCACGGCGAGGTTCAGGATGAACAGATTGGTGACGGTCCGCATGTTTCTGCTCCTCAGCACGATGAAACACACCACCCCGTTTCCCACCATGCACACGAGGAAGATCAGCATGTAGGACACGATGAAGATGGCCGCCGTGGACGGCTGGTGCAGGTAGAATCCCACGTAGGTCACGTTGCTGCCGGGCGCCGCGGGCTCCGCCGACGAGTTGTGAAACGTCCAGTTGTCGGGCGGCGGCGTCCGGTTGTTCCCACGTCCTTCGTCCATTTTGAGCCTGAGAGGGGACAGGTGACTTCATGATGAATCGGTTTACTTCAGCAACGCCTTGTAAATGAATCAATGAATGAATGAATTTGCTGTTGATTCCGAGCAGCTGGCGTCCAGTGGAATGATGAACTGAAATGGTCAAATCGCAGCGTGAAGGCGAGCAGCACCGCAGAGTTCAACTCGACACGGGTCAAGCCTTTCACGTTACACATTTCCATCGCTAATATTAAAATATTCAGTAGCACAGCTCATTCCAGTAACAGTGTGACATCGTGCCCATTTATGTGCAGCGTGCATAATTCATCATTCCACCGCAGGTTACGAGGGAATCCGACGAGGCAGGAAAATGTCACGTGATCAAGCCGCAAATAGGCGTTCTTTCATAATGGGAACGGAGAAGGAGGAGGAGGAGGAGATGGAGGAGAAGGTTCAGGAGAGCAAACAGAGGAGAACCTTCCCCAGCAGATCGGTCTCCGGTGGCTTCAGGACAAAGTGCTTGAGGGAAGCGCTTCTGAGGAAGCCTCCAATGGGTGAGACAAAAATAATCAATTACTCTCCACTGATTAATCTGATTTTTTTTTACAATTTTGGTAATTGAATATTCTTTTAGGTCATTTGGGCCAAAAAATGTAAACCTTTGATTTTGGTTTGTTTCAGAATACTGCAACGAAAACACACAAAAGACTTTGTACTGGCCTAAAAACCCCAACATTTAAATACGCCTTACTTGAAATGTGCAACTTATAAATTATTCAAACAATTGTCTTGATGTAGAGAAGAAAGTGGGTTTTTTCATAATGTATGTCTCTATATTATACCTTATTCCACTGTATTGACTCATTTAACAAAGCATAACATGTTGATCCTGGCTTTATACAATGTTATATTTTCATTTAGAAGTGACTGCATCCATCTACATATTTAATAAGATCATAACAGTAAGTAACCAAGTAACCAATTGGGGAAGTTTCATGGTGGTATTTGCCTATTTTGGGGTATAAAACAACGAGTTTACTCTGAGCTCTGGTAACTTTTGACTCTTTCGTTTGACTGATAACTGATAAAATGTTAACACATAACATCAATCTGTTGAAGGCCAACTACTGAGCATCCTGTTAATAGTTAAATAATGTGGCCATGTTATGAATCAGAGCCCATTGAGTCACGGGCACATCTGTTTGTTTTTGGAATAAGAAAAGGGCCGTCGTCAGCCAGCAGTCGGTGAAACGGGAGCCAGAACGCATCTCTGCCCCTGAGCAGCCGTTGGTGAGGTGCACAGGTGCTTTGGGTCGGATTCAGTGAACGGTGAGAAGTCAACAGCGAAACGCGCAGCTGAGACAAACTCGTGGGTCCAGAGATGAGGTCTGCGTCGTGTGCGAGGGACCCGTTGGGATTGTGACTCCTGATCACCTCGATTGGACGTTGGTTTACCGTAACTGTGTCGCTCTGTAAAGTCACCTTTGGGCTTCGTCTTTGTGACTGACCGGCAGGAAACGCTACGAGCTACTTTCTGGAGCGTCGATGCTAAAACCTCCCCGGTGCTGCTGCTGCCTTTGGGTGTGGACGGGCCAAACGAACGGGTTGTGAATGGGGCGCCCGGCCCGGTCTCGAAGGGGCCCCGGGGAGGTTTAGAGTGTGAGAGCTGCACGATGAGCCTCGCCGACCCGACTCGGTCCCGGTCTTGATGACTTATTTTGTAGAAGGGCAGATGCATCCCGGCGCCTTCGGTGGGATGTTCTGTGTCTGAGGCTGTGCGTTGTAATCGATACTGCGTTGGGAGGAGAAAGTAAACCTAAACACTGAACACGTTTGATTGAAGCTCTTGTTTCTCGGGAAACTCCAAACAACCTCTCTGCAGAGTGTAGATGTTATTGGATCGTTTCCGGGGTCGGAGCAGATGCACGTGACGCAAAATAAGCAATTTGCAATATTAGAAATGAACCAGAAAGGTGTGTCGCTCTTCACGAAAACCACCAGGTTTAAGCTCAGCCAAAGAACCGGCGTTCTCCACTGACGAGCTTGGCGGTGACACGAAGAGAATCCGGCAGGGGACAAGTGAGCGGACCTTAACAGCGAGGGACTGACGAGGGAGCAGGCTGCGGGTGAGACAGGCCTGAACAGCAGGTGAGGGACCGATTGGGAGTGAGTGGCTGGATGCGGAGCGACAGGAGAGTTAGCCGGCGGTCCGTCACGACAAAAAAAACAACGAGGCTGAAGTAGCGATTCGTGACGCGTTCAGAGCGCTCCTGGTGGGAGCAGCTTGGAGGGAATCCACCCACATTCACACACACACACACACACACACACACACACACACCGCCTCATTTCATCAGCGATGCACAGGCTTCTGGCTCAGTGTCAGACGCAGTGAGATCGTGCTCCACGGCGCCTCGTGAGACACGTCACACACCAGGAGGGAGGCGGCGGCCTGACGGACGGACGGATCCGGTCGCTCGGAGCCTGTCAGGGATTCACGTCGTCACTCTTCTTCTCCTGACGGCGTCTGGCGGGGCGTCGTCCTCCGGCCGCGCTTCCTGTTTGCTCCCCGCCGCGCGGTTCGGCAGGTTCCTCTCTCGCGGTTCCACCGGGGGGCTCAGAATTAGTCGCGGGGAAGAGCCGCTGCGGCCCGCGGAGGCTTTTCCTGGGATTTTTCTATTATCAGTGGAGGTTTTGCTCTTTCTTTTCTCAGCGTGGCGGCAAAAATGCACCACAGCGCTGTGCAAACATACTCTTGTCTTATAGAAATCCATCTGGCAGCTTTCCCCCACGGAGCAGCAGGAAGGAACCAGCCACCACTAAGGTGTGTGGTTTGGAATATTAACATTGTTGTTGGACAGAATCTAGATCCCCGTTAAAAAGTCTAAATGGCCCAGCAGACTAATCCCATTCGGGATTATTGTCGCCCGTAGCTGTTGTGTACAATAGAAGCAATTTCATTACGTGTAAAAGGACGTTAGTACCAGGACCAAGCAGACTGACTGACGCTGTGCATTAACTGTGAAGAAATAAGTCTAACAAGGTTATGGAATTCCACGTATTATTATAACTAGTCCAAGGGAAAATTTGACGAGCTGTGTTATTTTATTTGACCTTTTTTTTTACATGAATGGGATGTCCAATGGCTCCAAAGTGGCTGCCAATTGCCCGGGTGACAATAACCGCTTCCTGTTTACAAGTGTCACGATCAGAAACGCTTCTTTGGAGATTGTTAAACATTGAAAAAAGGCCCACAAAGGTGACAACTGAATAATAACCAATGAGTAATAATACGGACTGACAACCCAACTTTCAACAGCTGCTGCTCAATATTCCACGTTACCAAACCAATAAACACAAATAGCTTCGCTTAAACGCAACATGAAGTTGACAACAAACGCTTTAACAACGAAACGCTGGTTTTGCTTTTGTTAAAAAGGGCCTCGTGTGGACTCGATACGTCGCACGAAACACCGTCCCAACACATCCGGCCTGAGCGAGGACGAGGTCCTGCGACAGGGAGGTTCTGATTGCGATGATGTGCAGCGGGCCTCGATTTTAATGACCAATCATTGTCATTTAATAACTTCTTCACCTACAAACACACAATGATTTGTTCTCAGGACCACTTCAGCATCGTTCAGAAGAACCACAGCTGTTTGTAAGAAGAGCTTGGATCTAATCCGGCGTGTCAGAGGCTGCAACGTTCCCGTAATGGGAAAGTGTGCACAACCTCTCGGCGACTGCTCGGCCCGCTGAGAGCACGGATACGAATTCCTAATCAACCGCAGCCGACGTGGCAATAAATCAAGACAAAAAGACAACAATGGACTCAGACAGCGGCGCGCTACACCTCCGAGTAAATACAAAAACGCAATTATGCGCGACATTACGTGAGCCGACCGCTTCGCTTTGTGCTCGCTCTCTCTCTGCAGAGGAGCCACGACTCAACAGGCGAACCGCAGATCGGCAACGAGGCAAAAGATCCCACGACGCTCGATGTCGGTCCTCAGCAGAGCCCACAGAGCGCCGTGCGAATGAGGCGCGCCTCACATCGCCCGTGTGACCCAAGGCTCGACATGCTGTATTCCTCAGAGCGTGATCTCCATGGTTACTCCATCCAGAAACCACTGCGAAACTGAGTGGCAAGTCCCATCATTACCACCGACACGCACAGACACACACTGTGGCTCAAGATTAGCAGCTTTATTCAGATTGTTCTGTTTTACAGGAGATCTTAGATCGTATAGCTTCAGCATTGCCTTTCAGATCACTCGGTTTGTGCTCTTTTTTTCAGCTGTTTCTGAAGATCAGACAGCGATACGGCTCTCGTGTCACGTCGGTTGATGCAGCCAGTGCCCATGGTTTAAAAATGGTCGACTCTTATCTTGCAACTTGGGTGCTACAATAAGCACCAAGCCTTCTGGCGCTGAAGGTTTCCCGTGGAGGACATTGTTTAAACGCTTGGACAAATTTCGCTGTTTCTTGGCTTATTGGCAACGAGCTCAGTGCAAACAAACAAAAACGTTTCAATAAACCCTTCAGAACGGCAAGATTAAAAACATGCACATCTCCAGGACAACGCAGTGGTAATGAGCTGTCAATCACGAGCAAGCCTGAAGCCTACAGAGACTTGACTCTAAATGTGACAACCAGATACTCGATGGACAGATTGGAAGCATAAACTCAAGCTCACAATGTTCACTGAGGTAATAAATCCTTTTCTCATAAACTGTCCACACTGCAGGCACTTTATTATCGGCGTCTTCGTTGCCTGACCCGCAGGAGCAGAGTGTCATCGCAAAATGTTTGCATTTTTATACAAACTCCTGTTTGTCTGCACGAGCATCGGTATTACATCCGCAAAACAGAAGGCGCGGCCTCCTCTAACGTCTATTAATCCACCGACGGACCGCTGCACAAAATAAGAAAATCATTTGTTTAGGATCACATGATTGACGGGATATCATGATCAGGAAGCAGGACAATAATGAATCATTACTCATATCTTTTATTGCTATGTGCTCCCCATCACAACAAACAGCATCAGTAGTGTACACTTCAATCTACACAAATAGGAGGAAAAGTGAAACGAGCAGAGAGTGACTGACAATCGTAATGGGCAGAAATGCACAGGGGGGATTAATACAGTACACGGAGAATGCATTGCAGTAATATCTGTCTGAGGCTCAGGGATTGTCAATGTAACATCTACAACTATCTTTATTTATCATTACAAGCTCTGTATAACATTAGCAGCAATGTCAAGGCAGCACGTTAAGGATGTGAAAATAACAAAGGAGGAAAATGTAAAATGGTTAAAAATCTACTAACAGCATTTTAAAAAAAGTTACTTGTGCTAAACTATCAATGTTTAAAATAAAGCATTTGTCTGGTCAGTACATGTCACTGCGATGTAACAGCTTTGTTAACAACTTCTACAAAACAGCTGTGAAAAGACAGCTTTCTGATAACAAGTACAATGTCTCAAAATTGAGCATTTATATTTACAACTAATTGTTTGCAAAAAACAATGTAATTTCTAGCCTATCTCGTTTTTTTGGTATTTTTAAAAAAAAAAGTATAAATCCATTTTAAAGGTGAAAATGTGGATGAAAGATGTTCATAAATGAGATTCTATTGAATACAATGTAAAAACGTCTCAATAAATATTCATGTACCCAATGCTATATACATACACTATATATATATATTATATATATACTATATATATATACTATACATACACTATATATATATATACTATACATTGGCACACAGGAGTGAGTGTGAATAGTTATTTATTTACTGAAAACACAAAACTGTGTCTTTGCTATTGCAGTCAGATGCACGGTGGTTGTGAGGATATTTTTTTGTCTTCAATAATTAAATAATAATAAAATAATAGCTTTCTCTTCACTGAACCCTCCTTTTATATAGAAAAGAAAGCCATTATTTAAATAAAAAAACATGTTCCAAATATGATTAAAAAAAATAACTTTTGGCGTCTTGTGCTTACAATGATACTTTGATCCTAAAAAAAAAGAATGCACAAAGAATCCTGGTTCTGATGGAACGTTAATGGTGTTATTAGCGTAAAGCTCCATTAAGCAATCATTTGTTGCATTAGAATGTTACTCAATTTGCACGGTGAAAGAGCAATGGACCACCTGAGGATGAACACCTGCAGACCTGCTCTTAGCTCCCCTGCTGACAGCTGCGTATGTTAGCGCCAAACTCAGAGCTCTAATTAGCAAGCTGGTTGGAAAAGTGGAATAATTAGAGGCTAAAGTTTAAATGTTTCTCTGAGGAGCTGGAGGAGACCAAAAACGGAGCTAAAAGGAGGATTTGTATTCGGCATGTGGATCCAATGGGAGGCTCATGTCCTCTGATGGATCCGCAAATAGGCAACTGTGAGTTTGTTTGGGCGTCTTTCTTCCCCCTAGTGGTCCGAAAAAGGTTGAATGCAGCTTTAAGTGAGGTGAGATTCAAACTGTGTGCACTTTTACAATCATGTCAAAGCAGATGATTTTAAAATACATTTCAGTCGCGTTGTGAAACAAAAGTTTAAGGAGCACTGAATATGTTCCCTTCTTTGACTTCAACCTCAAACCTTTTGACCACAAACTACAGAGAGGGACACGAAAAGTCAAAAAAGTCAACGAATGAAAAAAGGCCGGGCTGAAAAGGAATAGTTTTAACATTTTGAGAGATGAGCTTAGTTGCTTTCTTCCCAAAAGTTAGAGGAGGCGTCTGATACCAGCTTCATGTCTGCAGGAGATGTTTAGTTCAGCAAAGCTCAACACAACCAGGAACGGAACTCTGTTCAAAAAACATTACCATTAATTTAACATATGTATTAGTTGGTAAGCTTGGTGGTTGTACTCTGGACAGCTTTCCCCGCCTGCTTCCGGTATTTATGCTAAGATAAGCTAAGCTAACAGCCTGCGTGCACATGTGATCTTCATATAAAGTGTACAACTCAAAGGGTTGAACTATTCGATGTTCATTCAACACCGCGGCTGAAACTGTAAACATTTAGAATAATAGGTTTTTATTTAGCTTGCTGTTTTTTGGAAGTATCCTCAGCTTCTTCAAATAATACTGATGTTTTAATGTACAGTATTTACAGAAACTTTCATAAATACCCATAGAAGAGAAGTAGAGCGACAGTGCTGGTTGTTTAAAGAAATCTATACAACTAAAACCACTTTCCCAACGGTCCTCGATGGCTTGACTGAATTCCCTCACTGGGACAGGTGAATTCTCCCACCGGGACAGGTGAATTCCCTCACTGGGACAGGTGAATTGGGACAGGTGAATGCCCTCACTGGGACAGGTGAATTCTCCCACCGGGACAGGTGAATTCCCTCACTGGGACAGGTGTATTCCCTTACTGGGACAGGTGAATTCTCCCACCGGGACAGGTGAATTCCCTTACTGGGACAGGTGAATGCCCTCACTGGGACAGGTGAATGCTCTCACTGGGACAGGTGAATTGGAACAGGTGAATGCTCTCACTGGGACAGGTGAATTGGAACAGGTGAATTCCCTCACTGAGACAGGTGAATGCTCCCACTGGGACAGGTGAATTCTCCCACTGGGACAGGTGAATGCTCTCACTGGGACAGGTGAAGGCCCTCACTGGGACAGGTGAATGCTCCCACTGGGACAGGTGAATGCCCTCACTGGGACAGGTGAATGCTCTCACTGGGACAGGTGAATTAGGACAGGTGAATTCCCTCACTGGGACAGGTGAATGCCCTCACTGGGACAGGTGAATGCTCTCACTGGGACAGGTGAATTAGGACAGGTGAATTCCCTCACTGGGACAGGTGAATGCTCCCACTGGGACAGGTGAATGCTCTCACTGGGACAGGTGAAAGTCGACACACTGTGGGTGACACAAAAGAAAGCTTCCCCATTCGTCGGGTTAAAAAGGTCTGGTTGGAATAAAACGACCATTGTTGCATTTTTTTCAATCAGCGTTGCTGATCAGACGCCATCTTTTGATATCTAGGAATCCTTTGGCTGTCTGATATCTGTCGTCGATACTTTGGAAGTCAATGTGAGGGGCGGAAGGGGAGATTCTAAAAAACCAAACAAAGTGAACCAGCACTTTTCTTTGCTGCTGTACATTACGAGTCCTGAAGGGGAGGAGCCTCGCTCTCATCTCTCCACTCTTGAGCCGCTTGACCTTTGACCCTCTTCCGAGTGCTCCGGGGGAGACGGCGCCGTGGCGGCCAGCTTCATGCCGGAGAGGCCCGCCTGCCGCGGGACCCGCCGGGGCGCCGGCGTCACCTTCGGCGGGGCTTTCTTCAGCGGGGCGGCGCCGGGGGCGGGCCCTCTGCCGCCGCGCGTGGCGTTGGCCGCCGCGTAGGCCGTCAGCGTCTCCAGCAGCTGGGAGGCGGAGCCGAAGCGAGCGTGCTCCTCGGCCTCGGCCGCCTCGGGGAACGGCGACAGGGCGGCGCCGCGCCTGCTGCAGGAGTCGCAGCACAGCTTGCTGTAGCCCGGGATGGAGCAGTACCGCGCCAGCACCTCCATCTGGCAGAAGATGGACTTGTCTCCGCTACACGGCTCATCTGAACGGGGAGAAGAAGGTGCGGGTTGAAACCCTGAAAGTGAGAGATTGACATAACAACCGCACTTATTATTTAACAGAATGATAGAGGTCACTGTACTGAACTACAGGCTGCAGCAGCAGAGCCTCGTGCTAGCTGCCGCGCTAACACACGCTACATGTGCATGCTAATCTGTGCAGCGTCACATCTACACTCAAAACGTCCATAAGCCTCCGTATCTCTAAAGATATGTTTTTTTCAACCTGCGGAAGTTTGATAAATTATCGTACAAATGTTTCTAAAAGGTCGATCGACTTCACATCAATCAAAAAGAAGCAAAGCAGCGTTTTTCTCAAGTTCTTGAGAGGTTACACTTGCTGGGAAAAATGACTGAAACGATTCTAAACATTTAATTTGTTATTTGAGGTACAAACACATTCGCTTTGAGAAGTTCAACGTCAGGGGATCATAAATTTCTTCCCTTCGGCACAAAACTGTGAAATGCAACAACAAAAACAATTTACTGTGCTAATTGCCTTGTTTTCCCTTTTCTACATTATGAAATGTTTGGTCAACTTGCAGACATTCGCTCGTGATTTCAGCCGTTTGAAAAATCCTGCTCCTCTTTTTCTGCCTCTTGTAAATGTGCTTCGGGATGTGAACGAGGTTCCACCAGCAGCGCAAAGAGTCAATACACACAGGTAGGAACATATTGATGTGCTTTGATGGCTCCACGCCACTAATTAAGAACATAGAAGGTGGATCAGCGTGAGATCTTCATCATGCGCTTTGAAGCTCCGCAGAAAACACACACTTTTTTTTTTTAACCTTTATTCAAATCGATCTCTGCTGCAAATCCGCTTGGCATTCACGCGTCGTGGGACGACGTCAATGAGTAATTGGCAGTTATTTGAGGATGACGCATTTGAACCTCTTTTTAAACACACGTGTGATGTATTGTTGCTAAAAGAGAGCCCTCACAGCATGATGCCATGTTAGTCACTCCAGTAAGCCGCCGTGAAGAGGGGAAATGTATATTTACACTGCACTCATGAGTATTCTGAAAACCATGTTGTGGGGTTTTAATTTCATATGTATTTGCTCTTTTCCTTCCAGGCAGCAGTTGCTTTTCATTTATTTCTCTTAGTCATGAAGCTAATTTGGCGATTCATAAAACCTGCCTCAATGAGTCATTTATCACAGCAACGTTATATTGTTGTTGTGAGCTGAATGGCAGAATGTCTTCAGAAATCACATCATGAACTTCAACAATAGCACTTTAAAACGTATTAATGCAGACAGTTACTGTGACGAATTGTGCAATTGGGTTTCAAGGTTCTGAAATAAAAGGAAACCGATTTGCAGTTAAGGAGTTGAAACCTGCGGAAAGAAGGACATCAGATGTTGATGTTGTCCTGCAGATTCACGCCGGCTAGAATGGGAGGACATGCTCACCGTGGCAGGCTGCCGGTCTGCAGAACCTCACGGTTTCCGGTTTGTCTCCGTTGCACTGGTCTCCGATCCGGCAGGTGACCAGCCGGCGCTCCATTCCCTCCCCGCAGGTGACGGAGCACTGTGGAGGAGCGACGCGGGGAAAGTCAGATAACAAGCCGACTTCAATCTGAACGTCTTATTTCTCCTGTTCCACAAAATACCCGAGGAACGCGTTATAAGTGCCGTGTCACAGAGAAGCTGCTCTGTTTTGGTTGATGGAGGACCTCTCCTGGGTGCACCTATCATTGCCTGTTCCGTACTGCCAGCTGCCTCCTCACTTACTCCAAAACGTCCCTTCACGAGTCATTCCACGTGCTCTGCTTTGAATCAACCCGGCAGCCTCCACGTGCACATTACCGTCGCGATGGTATTTGAAGGATGTGCCAAATCGGGGGAATTAACCGTCGCTAAGCGCCGTTGCTACGCAGTCAAGCCGCTGGAGCGACGCTCACTGCTAAAATGCTCTCAAGATTCATGGAAAAGACATTTGGTTTTGTAGTGGTGGTTCTACGGCCTGCGCACCAGCATCCACGGACGTGTTGGGGATTTAGCAGTGGAATTATAATACGTTTGATAATGTTTAGTTGTTAGAATTGTAGTTTGCGTGTTATTAGATGTTAGTTATTGCATCAGCATGTTGGATTAATAGCTGCGATATGAATTAAACACAGTTTATGGTCATTTAAGCTGAGAGAGGTTTCAGGTCATCGCCACGGAGGACAATGAGGGGAGGAGCTACGTTTGAATGTGCAGCCAATCACATTTGGTCGCACAAAAAAGGGACACACTTCAGGAGTTTTTTAAAGGACAGAGACATGAAAAGAACAGTTCGAGTTCTTTGTAGGTCGCCTTCGACTTAGACTGAGAGTTCTATGTGTTGCGAAATACTATTCTATTCACATTGCATTTCACTTTGCAACTGCATTACTTAAATTAAACTGATTTTTATACTCGAGCCAGTGACTCTTCGCCTGCGGCCGGGACCCCCAGGCGTGGAGAACCCCACAGCTGTTAAAGGGAACCGAGGCATCGTTTTGAGAGAAAGGAGTTGAGGCCCCACACTGCTCCTGTGAAGCTGCATCGCTCTTTACCGACTGCTGCAGTCATCAGGCAGTCAATCAAGCAGCATGTGTTCACAGTACACTTTAAGTAGCTGGTGGCACTGAAGTGCTAAAGCTGGTTCATGGTGTGCAGCTAGTTAATAGCGGAAAAACACTCTTGCTTAAGTATTATTTGCAGAAATGTGCATGAATATTTGTATATAAAGAGCAGGACATCTGGAAGCAGCTGACATATATCAGCTGCTGGCATGAAGAGCTGCGTCTTATTAGCTCACCACTCAGCAGGATGTCGCATTTATTGGATTTTTCAGTGGCTGGAAAGGTCTCATTTGGTGAAACGGGAGAACTGAAACTGCCTTGTTTTCCAATCAGAGATCGCACGGCTCTAAATGAATTATCAGAGGCCTCATCTATCACTTTACACACGATCTTCCCTGCGAACCACATCACACACATCGAGGGTGTTGCAACGCTACAAAATTAGTGCCCATTAGCGGCACGTGGCGCGTTGGCTGCCGGTTAATTGGAACCAAGCAAACGCAAAATCAATCGCATCGACCCGTCGCCCAACGATCCCTTCATAATAAAGAGTCGTCCCTCTCTCCCCCGCGTGAACAACAGGGGCACCCAACCT